AAGAGAGATAGATAAATAGATAGATATAGATATATAGATATATATGATAGATATATAAATATATATAATTTAAAACAACATATAAATATCTACATCTCTGTCTCTGTATGTTGTATTTAAAACTACACACACACACACACACACACACACACACACACACATACATGTATGTAGTTTCAATTTATGCATACGCAGAATATTATTAATTTAACCATGTTTACATTTTTTGTTAAAAGAATAACAAAAATGTGTATGTAATATTAAACAAATTATCAATAACAAAAAAACAGAAAGTGATAAATGGCTCATACGCAGATATACAATATACAAAACACTGCATAGTCAATAACAATAATATTATTAGACATATTAGACTTTTGAACAGCTAAGAATCAAACCGTTCTAATCAAACCGTTCTAGAAAGTCTACCCAACAGATCTTTACACATATTCAGTTGAATATAATACTCCTTGGAGTCGTCGTTTTTTGAATGATCACTGTATTGATATAGAATGAAGACTGGTAGAAAAAATATAGAACCAAACATCCTACATTCTTCAGTCCAAGTTTTTTCTATTGTCTGTAGACATTGACGAGTGCTCCACTTTGAATGGCGGCTGTAGTCACAACTGCACCAACACTGTAGGCAGTTACTACTGTTCCTGTAGTCAAGGGCTCGTACTGCACAGGGACAAACATAACTGTACTGGTAAGTAGACTAAGTATAAATTCCTTTTCCGAATTTGTATGTGTTTCAGTCTACCCCTTTTTAAAATTCACAAATCAGATTCAATGTCTGTCAAAGTGTGTTATCATTGCGTTACTTGTCATCAGATTTCAGACGTCATTAATTAGCATTGTCATATAGCCAGATGTCGTCGAGCAATCACAAGTCCTCATTTTTATATTGTTTATTTTGAATAATCATTATAAAGCCACTTCTGCTTCGCTCACCTGGAGGTTTTATTGGGTGGCTATAAAACTTATTACAGGGCCTCATGACATCATATACACCTGGGGACAGATCATTAACTCTTGACTTATATAGAAGTCGAAATTGATTTATCTTTTTCCCAATGTGCCTGACTCGTGTGTGACATTTTATTTTCACAGTCCGTGAGGGTTTTACGGTCTGGGCGCGATCTAGTGCATACGATGATCCATGTTACGGACATACACAACCAATTTCATCTTATATCATCAGTAACGGACTAGAGAGCAGCATAGAGGGTGGTAAGTGACACATATGTCTTTCCCTCTCTCTCTCTCTATATATATATATATATATATAGTCATGCATATAGTCTCTCTATATGTATATATATATAGAGAGAGAGAGTGAGAGAGAGAGGTACATGCATATGTAGACAGATATACATGTAGATAGATAGATTTTCTAGATAGATAATATTGGTAAAACTGTTGCGCTCCTCATCATATTTACCTTTTACTAACACCTGGCGTTCATCTAAGGAATTAGACATCTCCATCGCAGCCTATCACTAATTAAAAATCCGTCGCAAGGTTTTAATTATTGTATTTTACAACATAACATAAAAACGAGAACTTAATGGGAGACCTACAGGACAGATAATTATTTTTTCCTACAACGTCAGATCAACTACGTGGACACCATGTGTTCATTTTGAATGAACGGACGGGGGAAGTTGTAAACAAGGCAGGTTTTGACACCTGGTGGTTGAGAGGCGGTGGCGTCGCAGCAGCACAAAACCTCACAACCTTTCTGCAAGGAGTTCCAAAGGTAAGGCATTGATTGTGTACTCGGATAAAAAGGTATATTATCGTCTTCACCTTGTCACACAACTTAAAGATCATCAGAAATGTTCATCTGCGTTGGTAGTAATCATAGTACAATGTTGAACTTTATTCCAACACAAGGTTTCACAGATATCAATTTTCAATGACCACCGTCGCCTTCATCAGAATAATAAATGAACAATCACTATTCATTATCCTGATGAAGGCGACACTGGTCGTTGAAAATTTGATCTCTGTGAAACCTTGTGTTGGAATAAAGTTCAACATTTTACTATAACGTACATAATTAAAGTTTAATTGTTCCACAAAATACAACTTTATTTGGGCTTTCTTGAAACGTAGGGCATACACATGACAGCAAATACTGCAACGTGTACCTCTTGCGATAGATAATCATTAACTGGCCTCATTTAAACCTTAGTTGGAACTTACCGATCACTGTTTGCCTTGGGGGAAATACCATATCTGTTTATATTTTCTGTTCTTTATTGGGTATACTGCTCTTTCCATGCGGCCGTAGGGACGGATCATAGTTATCATTGTTCATGACAACGGTCAAACCAACGTGGACAACGAACCCAATTTAGCACCTTACGGATCAACAACAACTCGACTAGGTACAGTAACTCGAACATAATCCTCTAAATCATCAGCATATAAAGTATAAGTTAACGTCTTAGTGTTTAAAGTCCGATTGGCGTTCGTAATGAATACGCATTTAAATAATATATGAAAATTTGTATTACCTAAGGTTACTTCTTCACGATTATGCATCGGTAGTTGAATATATTGTCCTATGGTAGGGGGAAGAGAATCCTGGGCCATGATCACCCAGAAAGGAACGATTCCATGCTGGTTTGTGGAAGAGAAGAGTGCTATAGGCGCGGGGCCAACTACTGTAGAGGCGTTCATACCGACAGGTAAAGAAACAACACAGTACATACTTTTTGTTCCGTCTTTAATTTGGAAGTAATTTGAAAGTAAAGCCGGAGCGTGCATGAGGGAGCCTTAGGTACCATATCTCACCACGAAGAAGAATCCAACACATCAACAAGAGTTCCGAGATCTCATACCTCCATGAAATACTAGTATGGGCTTGATATGTAAATGTAAATTTCTTCTTTAATTACGCAAATGACCTCTGCATTAACATAATATATGCATCGTGATGTTCACTTTTGATTAACTTAAAGATGTCCCAAGTATGACATTCCCATCATTCACCATTAAGAATGCATTAATTATGATAATTAGGTCACCATTTGCATAATTAGTATCTGTTGATGTTCCATCTGCCATAGGTTACATACATTACATGTATGAAAGTTCTATAATGTAAAACACTGTAATTATAGAATTTCCTCATTAATTATCCAAATGAAGTCCCCATTTGCATAATTTGCAGTTAATTATGTACAGCTCTCTGGCAGATACCTACACACCAAAAATGATGAAAATACGCTGTTCCTATCTGGACTTATTGGCTTTCAAAGATTTCGCCCGAAAGTCCCCTGCAGTTCCTGAACAAGCTGCTAGGGGGACCAAACCCACACCACTTATTCCTGACAGGAAAAGCTATCTGTCACCAAAAATTTAAGACCATAGCAGGTTCAGGACAAAAGATACAAAAACCGGAAGTTCTGCTGCAGTACCAAGGTCATCCACCAGGAGGCCCATATTTGACCTTGTCCTTTGTCTTCCCAAGACTTATCAGCATACCAAATATCATCACAATCCATAAAGGCGTTATGAAGTTATGCTGACTACAAAGTTGCGGAAACACACACACACAGACACACAGACACACAGACAGACGCCGCCAAAAACAATACCTCCATTTTTCATGGAGGTAAACATAGAGAAGAATGTAATAATTATTGCTAGTTTGTTTTTACACAGATGGGTTACCAGGAGTATGTGTTGGCCCACCTCTCCAAGCCAACACCACCGGGCCCGTGTGTAACTGTCCTTACGTGCTGGGGGAGAACTGCACCTACCCATGTTCCCCGGGATATCACGTCATTTCCGGTGACGTCATAACTAGAACATGTACGTCAAACGGATCATGGACAGAGACGGGTCTTTTCTGCCAAGGTACGGAAGGGAGACAAAACTAGAAATGGTGTAAACTCCTACAGTTCTTACCTTCTTTCACATTCTGCTTGATAGAACTTTCTACTAGTATTAGTCACAGGATAGACCATTGTAACTCTTCCCCCATCTAAAATTTTGGATAATTTCCTGTAGATATTGATGAGTGCTCCATTCAAAATGGCGGCTGTGACCAGACCTGCACCAACACTATCGGAAGTTACATCTGTTCTTGTAGTGAAGCCGGGTTCGCAGTGGACTGGAGTGGACATAACTGTGCGACTGGTAAGACTCAATTTTTTGTTTTACAGACCAGCTGCAAATCACTGTAAATTGTATGGATAACAAAAATGCTTAGATTAAAAACCATTAAGGCAAGCCATTATATCCTGTTGAATGCCATGTTCGATCCTGTTGTAACTTGTAACATATAAGGCCAGTGGGGTATCGTTGATTTTATAAGGTATCGGTTACAGCGAACACAAAGTCAAAGAGGCGTTCAGTGTATCACTTCAGTTTTTCGTCAATACAATCTCTAGACTTCTGCAAAATTTGTCCTTAATACAAACAAATTCAAGTTTAGAAATAATCGTTCTTTACAGTGTGTCCAATATCAGGCTACGTCAGCTTTAACGGAGTTTGCTTCAAGTACTTTGCTGAGGAGAAGACCTATGATGAGGCAAGGTTGAGGTGTGCCGTGAACGGTGGTCTGTTAGCCATGCCGAAAGACAACCTGACCGACGCTTTCATAGCCAGTCTGGGCAAAGGAAAACGCTGGATTGGGTTGACTGACGCCGACACCGAAGGCCAGTGGGTATTTGAGGACGGCCAAATCCTGACATCAGTCCATTATTCCAATTGGAACCCTGGTGAGCCAAACGACCGAGGGGGCAACGAAGACTGCGTCTATGTGTTCTGTAAAGGCAGGCTAGGAAGCGTCTGGAATGATGGTCCATGTAACACACCTGCCAGGCATTTCGTATGTGAGATGGATCCAGGTATGCGTTATAAACACGGTCTTTAATTTTATGACAATGAGTACCCTCACATGATGTATGCCAGGCAATGCATGGTCTAATTGCTAACATGAAGACACTATGGAACATTATATTGTCATGTGTAACAGTTTCTATTGAATACCTGACAACAACAGTGATATACAAACGTTGATACAGAAACAGCCATCACCTGCGAGGGAGGCACCCTACATCTGTCTTGCTCGGACGGAAAAACGCTCTTCATTGTGGAGGCGACCTACGGCAGGACGTCCGCCTCCCACCGCTGTCCCTGCTCTACCTGCCGCACCAACTGCCGCGCGGACACCAGCCTGACCGTGGTGAGGGCCGCCTGCCAGGGCAATCAGCAGTGCTCAGTGGAAGCGAGCTATGACGTATTCGGTGACCCCTGTGTCTGGGTGGAGAAGTACCTGGAGGTATCATACCGATGTATCGTAGGTGAGCACGCGGAATTATCATAATATAGAGCATTTCCTCAATTTAGGCCCCTTCCCGCCAGACAGCGAAACTTGAGCAACCGGTATATGTATAAGCGACCAGAATTGGACTTGTATGACCCTTGATTTAAAATTAAAATATTCCACGACCACATACTTTCACCAAATGATGTTAACCATTCTGACTGACGAAATTTTACATTCTTCTCATTCATTATGTCCATTGTCCATAGTAAATGTGTTGTGTTGTGATGTAATATGCTGGAAAGTTAGGTTGAGTTTTCTCCATGATTTGTAAGCGTGTTCGTAATCAACCCTCCCGCAGATAATTCAACATCATCATCAACAACAACAACAACAACATCAACAACAACAACGTCCACAAGTTACACAACAACAACAACAACAGCAGCAGCAGCAGCAGCAATACCCAGACAGGCTACCACAGCTAGTCCACCGGACCTTGGCACGACCACCACTTTCAAATTGATGATCCCAACTACTCAATCAACAACAGCAAAACAGACAACGATTTTCGTCTTCGGAGGTACGCAAATGTCCATTTGAATGTGCAGTACATAGAAATATATTCATCAGTTTAAAAGTCTAAAGATATTGAATACAACGTTTCTCTCCAAGCAAAGGTTGGATAGGGTTCTTACCATGATGAAAGTACAGTTGTCAGAAAGTGTGTTGTGGTAAAACGGTAGTAACCTTAGCATTCAATTTCTATTTGGAGAGTAAGTTGCTCTATGTTTTTAACTATCACATATCAATAAAACATATTTTCTTGACATTACAGAGATTATTAGACCCCTAAATGGGCTTCTCATCTTGTTAATATTTTGATATCAGGTTTCATCAGACCCACTTTAGTAAAATCACTTTTTTTGTCACAGAACTTGATGAAGAATCGTCTGATTATTTCTACGATGAAGTTTCTACCGAACAAGTGACGCCCACACTCTCCACCCTGCCTCCCAGCACAGCTGAGACTACGTTTCCGTTTCCGGTGGTCATTACCACTCAAAAATTGTCTACACAGACGCCCTTTCTAAAGGAGGTAATGTTACATGTCTTTAATTCAGTATTGCAGTACGTATGCTTGGTTAACGTATGTTCATCTGCCTCTTTGCTTGTGTGTCTTTAACTATTGGAATACAGTAGGCTGAAAACCAAATGGGGTGAGTGGGAATGGCGTAACCACAGACTGACAGGAAGGTAGAATTAGAGGCCAAATGGTGTTCCCACAGGCTGGCATGGTTCAAAGGTTACCTCAGAGCAAATACAGCATATTTCTGTCCATCTCCATCCACATAAAAATGGAATGTTACAAACTCGCACCTGTGAAAAGGTAGAACATTCCAAAAATAACATTTAACGAAATGACAGGTGAAGGAGAAGAAGAGAGTAAAAACGATATATTTCATTCTATGGACTGAAATATGATGTGTGGTCTGGAAATGATATCTTGCATTGCAGGAGGAGATACCTACTCTGATCAGGACTCTACGTGACAAGGTGAACCACTTCACCGGTTCCCTGGAGGATCACAAAAACTTCTGAAAGGTTCGATTTCATTTATCAGTATGTTTTTGTGAAGAAAGCACGGTTTCAACGAATAATGAAAGGACCAATTTAAGTGGGAGCTTTTTTTCACACGTACACGTAAATTTTTCATTGCTTTTTTTGTGCGTGGACTTTTGTAGTCTGCCATATTGTTGTGCTAGTAATTATTTGCAAACAAATCCATATTGGGTTCATAAGCACTTCAAAGATGCAGCGTTCGACTATCCGATAGTATTTTGCTAAATTTTTCATTTGACCGAACTCGTGTTTCTGCCTTGTCCCCCAGACGACCAGTGTCGGTCATGGGACTAGGTAGGTAGTAGGTAGGTTTCTTTAGTCTACTACATTGTAGTAATCTGACA